CCACCACCCCTCTCTTGCCAGCCCCACCCCCACCTCTCTTGCCAGCCCCCACCCCCCACCCCCTTAGTTCCTTCTTCACCACACACCACCCAGACGCTGCCATCACCGCCATACACAGTACCCTGTGTTTCGTTTAACTTCCTCGTTTGCACCATACCTCAGTACCTGCAACTTGTCACCGTTAAACATCATGTTATTTTCTGTTGCCCAATCGCAGACTTTATTAATATCTGCCTGCAGGTTTTGCACTGTCTTCTACAGTGCCAATTTGCATGAGGATTTTTGTATCATCTGCAAAGGATGATACGAAGCTGTGACGAGTATTTTTGTCTATATCTGAGATGAGAATGAGAAATAGCAGTGGTGCCAGGACTGTGCCCTGGGGTACAGAGCAGCGGTGCCAGGACTGTGCCCTGGGGTACAGAGCAGCGGTGCCAGGACAGTGCCCTGGGGTACAGAGCAGCGGTGCCAGGACTGTGCCCTGGGGTACAGAGCAGCGGTGCCAGGACTGTGCCCTGGGGTACAGAGCAGCGGTGCCAGGACTGTGCCCTGGGGTACAGAGCAGCGGTGCCAGGACTGTGCCCTGGGGTACAGAGCAGCGGTGCCAGGACTGTGCCCTGGGGTACAGTGCCCTGTTTAAATTATTCCTTCTTCGTATGGAAAATCGTGTCTGCTTAAGCATTTCCGTTAATTTCTTCCTCCTTTTGTAGTGTCTGCGGCGTTCTCTTTCTACATTGGACCTCTTTCTGGCTTTCCTCAAAGGAACATGTTTCAGACTTCATATGCTTCAGAAGTCAGTTTTTCTATTCCTTGTGTAGGATTTTTATTTCTTGGAACATTTTCCCATTGAATGCTTGTAAGTTCCCTGTTTATTTTCTCACAGTCTATCCTTTTATTATTAAAATTGAATTTACTGAATAACCCGTCTCGCTTGTAGTTTATCTTGGGCCTACTACCGTTATTAATGTTAGTTTGCACTTCAATGAGCTTGTGGTCCGAGTACGTAGTGACAGTAATGACAGACTAATCAGAGACAGTAATGTTTCTGATTAGCTGATCACTGTTCGTGAATATCAGGTCCAGCGTGTTCTCGGTCCTAGTTGGTTCTGTAATCTGCTAACTGAGCGAGAATTTGTCACGGAATCTCAGTAGTTCTCTGACCTGTAATTGGACTTGCTATGATGTTAGTGATGTCAAGGGTGATGTCCGAGGGTGGGGGGGGGGGGGTTGTCACTCGCAGCATTTCACTCATTTCTTTCGCTGAATCTCTCAAAAATTCTGTCAAAGAATGTACCCAAAATTTTTATAATTTGGGTAATTACAAATCTTGATGCAAACACCAACAGTCTGATAAATCAACTAGAAGTCCTGGTCAGTGAACGAAAAAATAAAATCTAAAAAAAAAAAACGAGCGCGAGCGTGCGTGCGCACAAGCACGGCGCATATTTCGGCCTTGGCAATGTCGAAATCAATTTCAGGTCGACACAACGTTCAAATGACATACCAGGGACCTATATACAACCTTTTGTGAAGCTTCCTCGTAACTATGGCAACACTGATCTGGGGCGACATATGGCAACACTGCTCACACCTCACGCATATGTCACATATCTACTTATTTATAAGCGAAATAGTGACTATAAGCAATAAGTCATATATGTGCTGTCTTGTGCGAGAGCAGGTTGCACGCAGGCTGAGGCCCTGGGGACTTTTTGAGTGTGTGCACGTTCGTTCGTGTGCGTTATCTTGAGGTTATCTTGAGATGATTTCGGGGCTTTAGTGTCCCCGCGGCCCGGTCCTCGACCAGGCCTCCACCCCCAGGAAACAGCCCGTGACAGCTGACTAACACCCAGGTACCTATTTTACTGCTAGGTAACAGGGGCATAGGGTGAAAGAAACTCTGCCCATTGTTTCTCGCCAGCACCTGGGATCGAACCCAGGACCACAGGATCACAAGTCCAGCGTGGTTCCCACATTAATAGTAGTGTACCACACGGAGTACACAGTAAACCCAGTGACATGTAAACCCAGTGACATGTAAACCCAGTGACATGTTCTAAGATCAAGTTTACGCAGCGTTGCTGGGACAAGACCAGTACATCCTCCTCAGCTCCCCCAACGTCAAGAAACAGACGTACTAATGTGCCCTTATCCTAACCTACCAGAGGACCCAAAACAGAAAACGGGACAATATGTCAATTTCGCGAGTCGCTTCCATTTTCTAGCACGATACTTTTTTGTTTTGCCTGGCCGCGGGGTATATACACAGCCCCGCTCCTGTGCCAGGTAAGTCCACTACGGGCTCACCATAGCCCGCGCTACTTGCCCCGCTCCTGTGCCAGGTAAGTCCACTACGGGCTCACCATAGCCCGTGCTACTTGCCCCGCTCCTGTGCCAGGTAAGTCCACTACGGGCTCACCATAGCCCGTGCTACTTGCCCCGCTCCTGTGCCAGGTAAGTCCACTACGGGCTCACCATAGCCCGTGCTACTTGCCCCGCTCCTGTGCCAGGTAAGTCCACTACGGGCTCACCATAGCCCGCGCTACTTGCCCCGCTCCTGTGCCAGGTAAGTCCACTACGGGCTCACCATAGCCCGTGCTACTTGCCCCGCTCCTGTGCCAGGTAAGTCCACTACGGGCTCACCATAGCCCGTGCTACTTGCCCCGCTCCTGTGCCAGGTAAGTCCACTACGGGCTCACCATAACCCGTGCTACTTGCCCCGCTCCTGTGCCAGGTAAGTCCACTACGGGCTCACCATAGCCCGTGCTACTTGCCCCGCTCCTGTGGCAGGTAAGTCCACTACGGGCTCACCATAGCCCGTGCTACTTGCAACTTTTGTTCTGAGTAGCTGAATCTATAACAACATCTTTAACACAGGTTCACAGACTTGTATTTCAGGCAAAGAACAAGCAAATTAAATGTTATAAATTTGTTGTTCATAGTTTAATGAACATGTTATCCCTCATTGTGTTCTGTGATGGCCGGACAAGAACATGGCACTATACACATCTAAGAACAGGCATGTATAGGTGGCACTGGCACCCCCCTCCTCTGATACATGGCCCAAGTGTCTAGTTGGCACCTCACTGCCCCCCCCAACCCTGGCCCCTCCAACACCTCACTGCCTCCTCCATAACACCAGGCAGAAGATATCTTACACATCAGAGGCTATCTTGAGGTTATCTTGAAGTGCTTAGGAGGCCAGGGTCTCCTGTACGGGGCCAGGGCCTCCTGTACGAGGCCAGGGTCTCCTGTACGGGGCCAGGGCCTCCTGTACGAGGCCAGGGCCGCCTGTACGGGGCCAGGGCCTCCTGTACGGGGCCAGGGCCTCCTGTACGGGGCCAGGGCCTCCTGTACGGGGCCAGGGCCTCCTGTACGGGGCCAGGGCCTCCTGTACGGGGCCAGGGCCTCCTGTACGGGGCCAGGGCCTCCTGTACGAGGCCAGGGCCTCCTGTACGGGGCCAGGGCCTCCTGTACGGGGCCAGGGCCTCCTGTACGGGGCCAGGGCCTCCTGTACGGGGCCAGGGCCTCCTGTACGGGGCCAGGGCCTCCTGTACGGGGCCAGGGCCTCCTGTACGGGGCCAGGGCCTCCTGTACGCCGCCAGGGCCGCCTGTACGCCGCCAGGGCCGCCTGCACGAGGCCAGGGCCGCCTGCACGAGGCCAGGGCCGCCTGCACGGGGCCAGGGCCGCCTGTACGCCGCCAGGGCCGCCTGCACGGGGCCAGGGCCGCCTGTACGGGGCCAGGGCCTCCTGTACGGGGCCAGGGCCGCCTGTACGGGGCCAGGGCCTCCTGTACGGGGCCAGGGCCGCCTGTACGGGGCCAGGGCCGCCTGTACGGGGCCAGGGCCGCCTGTACGCCTCCAGGGCCGCCTGTACGAGGCCAGGGCCGCCTGTACGAGGCCAGGGCCGCCTGTACGCCGCCAGGGCCGCCTGTACGAGGCCAGGGCCGCCTGTACGAGGCCAGGGCCTCCTGTACGAGGCCAGGGCCTCCTGTACGAGGCCAGGGCCTCCTGTACGAGGCCAGGGCCTCCTGTACGAGGCCAGGGCCTCCTGTACGAGGCCAGGGCCTCCTGTACGAGGCCAGGGCCTCCTGTACGAGGCCAGGGCCTCCTGTACGAGGCCAGGGCCTCCTGTACGAGGCCAGGGCCTCCTGTACGAGGCCAGGTCCTCCTGTACGCGGCCAGGTCCTCCTGTACGCCGCCAGGGCCGCCTGTACGAGGCCAGGCTATAGGAAGGGCTTGTGTTTGAGGCAGGGGGGGTGAGGGAGGCCAGGCGTCTGGGGCACCACATAACTTAGTGTTTGCAGGTCCTCGCCGCGATATTGAACGTCCCCCCGGCTTCCGTCGGGGCGGCGGGGCCGTCCTCGTTCGAATCCTCACAAGGGCGCCATATTTTCTCCGCTGGTGGCGTGGGAGGGGGGGGGAACTATGAACTATTAGGAGAAAGCACCAAGCCATTACGACTATATAGCACTGGGAAGGGATCAGGATTTGGGATGGGACGGGGGGAAGGAATGGTGCCCAACCACTTGGACGGTCGGGAATTGAACGCCGACCTGCATGAAGCGAGACCGTCGCTCTACCGTCCAACCCAAGGACGGATTGACAGGGACACTACACACAGAAATCATAATAGCGCGATGCATCAAATGCATCAACTCTTTTGGCCATGTCGTAGCTCAGTGGATTAAGGCAGCGTCTGGGATGCTCTCGAACGCAGGTTCGAATCCTCGTCACGGCCCTTGTGCATTTGTTCATTGACAGGGAGTTGCCAGCTGTCATGGGTAGATAGTCTCTAACGCCGTCAACCCATATGATATATGTGAAGCACCTTTGTGATGAGTGAAGCACCTTTGTGATGAGTGGCTCTGCTCAATAAACTCGCCCCTCGGGCCAAATTAAAAAAAAAAAGACCTTTGTGAATTGCAATCCACCTGGCCTGACCGTCTAGCCCAACCACTTGGGGCTGGACGGTAGAGCGACGGTCTCGCTTCATGCAGGTCGTCGTTCAATCCCCGACCTGTGTCTTCTCCAAGTCGAAAAACGAAGAAGGGAAACTGTGGGCCTAACCCCCGCTTCCCTCCGGCCAAGGTTACCAAGACACCCCTCAAGACGCCGGCCAAGGTTACCAAGACACCCCTCAAGACGCCGGCCAAGGTTACCAAGACACCCCTAAAGACACCGGCCAAGGTTACCAAGACACCCCTCAAGACACCGGCCAAGGTTACCAAGACACCCCTCAAGACGCCGGCCAAGGTTACCAAGACACCCCTCAAGACACCCGGCCAAGGTTACCAAGACACCCCTCAAGACGCCGGCCAAGGTTACCAAGACACCCCTCAAGACGCCGGCCAAGGTTACCAAGACACCCCTCAAGACGCCGGCCAAGGTTACCAAGACACCCCTCAAGACGCCGGCCAAGGTTACCAAGACACCCCTCAAGACGCCGGCCAAGGTTACCAAGACACCCGGCCAAGACACCCCTCAAGACACCGGCCAAGGTTACCAAGACACCCCTCAAGACGCCGGCCAAGGTTACCAAGACACCCGGCCAAGACACCCCTCAAGACGCCGGCCAAGGTTACCAAGACACCCCTCAAGACGCCGGCCAAGGTTACCAAGACACCCGGCCAAGACACCCCTCAAGACACCGGCCAAGGTTACCAAGACACCCCTCAAGACACCGGCCAAGGTTACCAAGACACCGGCCAAGGTTACCAAGACACCGGCCAAGGTTACCAAGACACCCCTCAAGACGCCGGCCAAGGTTACCAAGACACCCCTCAAGACACCCGGCCAAGGTTACCAAGACACCCGGCCAAGACATCCGGCCAAGACACCCCTCAAGACACCCGGCCAAGGTTACCAAGACACCCTTCAAGACACCCGGCCAAGGTTACCAAGACACCCGGCCAAGACATCCGGCCAAGACACCCCTCAAGACACCCGGCCAAGGTTACCAAGACACCCCTCAAGACGCCGGCCAAGGTTACCAAGACACCCCTCAAGACGCCGGCCAAGGTTACCAAGACACCGGCCAAGGTTACCAAGACACCCCTCAAGACACCGGCCAAGGTTACCAAGACACCCCTCAAGACACCGGCCAAGGTTACCAAGACACCGGCCAAGGTTACCAAGACACCCCTCAAGACACCCGGCCAAGGTTACCAAGACACCCCTCAAGACACCGGCCAAGGTTACCAAGACACCCGGCCAAGACATCCGGCCAAGACACCCCTCAAGACACCGGCCAAGGTTACCAAGACACCCCTCAAGACACCGGCCAAGGTTACCAAGACACCCCTCAAGACGCCGGCCAAGGTTACCAAGACACCCCTCAAGACACCGGCCAAGGTTACCAAGACACCCCTCAAGACACCGGCCAAGGTTACCAAGACACCCCTCAAGACACCGGCCAAGGTTACCAAGACACCCCTCAAGACGCCGGCCAAGGTTACCAAGACACCCCTCAAGACGCCGGCCAAGGTTACCAAGACACCCGGCCAAGACATCCGGCCAAGACACCCCTCAAGACACCGGCCAAGGTTACCAAGACACCCCTCAAGACACCGGCCAAGGTTACCAAGACACCCCTCAAGACACCGGCCAAGGTTACCAAGACACCCGGCCAAGACATCCGGCCAAGACACCCCTCAAGACACCGGCCAAGGTTACCAAGACACCCCTCAAGACACCGGCCAAGGTTACCAAGACACCCGGCCAAGGTTACCAAGACACCCCTCAAGACACCGGCCAAGGTTACCAAGACACCCCTCAAGACACCCGGCCAAGGTTACCAAGACACCCGGCCAAGGTTACCAAGACACCCCTCAAGACACCGGCCAAGGTTACCAAGACACCCGGCCAAGACACCCCTCAAGACACCGGCCAAGGTTACCAAGACACCCCTCAAGACGCCGGCCAAGGTTACCAAGACACCCGGCCAAGACACCCCTCAAGACACCGGCCAAGGTTACCAAGACACCCCTCAAGACGCCGGCCAAGGTTACCAAGACACCCGGCCAAGACACCCGGCCAAGACACCCGGCCAAGACACCCCTCAAGACGCCGGCCAAGGTTACCAAGACACCCCTCAAGACACCGGCCAAGGTTACCAAGACACCCCTCAAGACACCGGCCAAGGTTACCAAGACACCCGGCCAAGACACCCCTCAAGACACCGGCCAAGGTTACCAAGACACCCCTCAAGACGCCGGCCAAGGTTACCAAGACACCCGGCCAAGACACCCGGCCAAGGTTACCAAGACACCCGGCCAAGACACCCCTCAAGACACCGGCCAAGGTTACCAAGACACCCGGCCAAGACACCCGGCCAAGAGCCACCTACTACACTGCCAGAGAGAGAGAGAGGTTACCTCCTGTTAAGTCACTTAAGTCACTGTTCATTAACTCCTGCTCCTGTTTCCCCTCCATGTCCTCCCCTAAACACCCGTCTATCCCCGTCCCAAAGACCCTCTATCCCCCCTATCCCCGTCCCAAAGACCCTCTATCCCCCCCTCCCTGTCCCAAAACACCCTCTATCCCCACCCCTCCCCGTCCCAAAACACCCTCTATCCCCACCCCACCCCGTCCCAAAACACCCTCTATCCCCCCCCTTTCCCTGCCCCAAAACACCCTCTATCCCCCCCCCCTCCATGTCCCAAAACACCCTCTATCCCCACCCCCTCCCCGTCCCAAACACCCTCTATCCCCACCCCTCCCCGTCCCAAAACACCCTCTATCCCCACCCCTCCCCGTCCCAAAACACCCTCTATCCCCCCCTCCCCGTCCCAAAACACCCTATATCCCCACCCCTCTCCCCGTCCCAAAGACCCTCTATCCCCCCCTCCCTGCCCCAAAAGACCCTCTATCCCCCCTATCCCTGCCCCAAAGGACCCTCTATCCCCCCTCCCCGTCCCAAAACACCCTCTATCCCCCCTCCCCGCCCCAAAACACCCTCTATCCCCCCCCTCCCCGTCCCAAAGACCCTCTATCCCCCCTATCCCTGCCCCAAAACACCCTCTATCCCCCCCCTCCCCGTCCCAAAGACCCTCTATCCCCCCTATCCCTGCCCCAAAAGACCCTCTATCCCCCCTATCCCTGCCCCCAATCACTATTCCCACCGGCCGACCAATCCCAGACAACAGTGTTCCTGTTGCTCGTTGCACGCAGCTCTAAGATCGGGACCTCGACAAGGCAAGGTCGCTTGCTTTGCCGAGGTCATATTAACTTATATTAACCTATTAACCACATATTAACCTCCTATTAACATACCTGAAGGTGATCATCAAGATTTAACCTAGCCAGGGAGCCGGTCGGCCGAGCGGACAGCACGCTGGACACGTGATCCTGTGGGTCCCGGGGTCGATCCCGGACACCGGCGAGAAACAATGAGCAGAGTTTCTTTCACCCTATGCCCCTGTTACCTAGCAGTAAAATTAGGTACCTGGGTGTTAGTCAGCTATCACGGGCTGCTTCCTGGGGTTGGAGGCCTGGTCGAGGACCGGGCCGCGGGGACGCTAAAGCCCCGAAATCATCTCAAGATTAGATACTCATAAACTCACACTTACCAGAAGGCTCTGACCGTCACAGTGCCGCCCTCACAGTGCCGCCCTCACAGTGCCACCCTCACAGTGCCACCCTCACAGTGCCGCCCTCACAGTGCCGCCCTCACAGTGCCGCCCTCACAGTGCCGCCCTCACAGTGCCACACGTACCTGTAGAGAGAACAAGGAGATGCATTAGTCACTGGAATGCATTGCCACCACAGCAACAGTTGCAACAGTACAAGCAGCAACAGTTGCAACAGTACAAGCAGCAACAGTGTAATAACTGGCCTTGTAATATCTCGCCTTGTATCTATCTCGACCGCGCACCCCGCTACTACCACTGAGCTAACCGTGCAATCTCCGCTCTTTCTATGGTAATAACAGATGCTATACCGATCATGTAAGATGTTAACACTCGGGCCGTCATACGAAGACGTAAACCAGTACACAGAGGAAGGAGAGAGAGAGAGAGGAAGAGTGAGGCAGAGCGAGAACGAGAGCAAGGGAGTGAGAACGAGAGCGCGTGAGGGCGAGGGAGAGTGAGACACTAGTGAGGGAGAGTGAGACAGAAAGATAGAGATAATCGTAGTCACAACCTATCGTATGAGTTACCGAGTGACGCTGCCACCACCCTGAGTTACCGTACAGGGGACCGGAGTGAGAGTCGTAGGTCTTGCAGATGGAATAACCTACCAGGACAGGTGTAGGGGACAACTGAACGGTACAAGGATCCTGGCCTGACACTCGAATAATCCTGACCACTTGGGAACTATGGTGTACACAAGAATAAGGCGGGACACACCAATACTAACACCTCAACACGGAAGACGAACGGGGGGAGGAGTACGGGATAATTAAGAACACTAGGTCACTGGGGCAAAGGGGACGGTAGGCCCAATATCACTAAGACAAGGAACCATTAATACACATTTTATAACACTTAATATATGACTTTATTGAATTAATTAAATAAGACACTCCCTAACTATATTCCCTACTAGAGGCCAAGGGTGCTGAATGAGGTGCTTTAGTACAAGAGAGCCGTACTTACTCGTATGTTGTTCCACAGTTTTCTTGGGAAGATGATGTTCCTTCCCCGAGTCCACACACACCTTCCTTCTGGGCAGCGCCCACTCTACTGACTGTCCCATGATCTGTTGCTCCTCAGCTGAACATGAGGGTTCTACCTTTGATGTTTAGGGGTTAATCCCTGAAGATTATCATGACGGCATCAACTCTGACCTCTTTGTGATTCGATGACCGTTGACCTGACTCTATGGTTAACTTGTACAGAGGTGTAACTTTTACATTGTCTGCCGCCGCCTGTCTGGCGCCTGTGGGTTGTTCATCCTCCACGTGGCCTGTTCATGCTGTTATGATGTTCATGTTGTACTATGTACTGCTCTCTTGTTACAACAGTTGCAACAGTACAAGCAGCAACAGTACAAGCAGCAACAGCAGCAACAGTACAAGCAGCAACAGCAACAGTACAAGCAGCAACAGTACAAGCAGCAACAGCAGCAACAGTACAAGCAGCAACAGCAGCAACAGTACAAGCAGCAACAGCAACAGTACAAGCAGCAACAGTACAAGCAGCAACAGCAGCAACAGTACAAGCAGCAACAGTTGCAACAGTACAAGCAGCAACAGTACAAGCAGCAACAGTTGCAACAGTACAAGCAGCAACAGTTGCAACAGTACAAGCAGCAACAGCAGCAACAGTACAAGCAGCAACAGTTGCAACAGTACAAGCAGCAACAGCAGCAACAGTACAAGCAGCAACAGCAACAGTACAAGCAGCAACAGTTGCAACAGTACAAGCAGCAACAGTTGCAACAGTACAAGCAGCAACAGTACAAGCAGCAACAGCAGCAACAGTACAAGCAGCAACAGCAACAGTACAAGCAGCAACAGCAGCAACAGTACAAGCAGCAACAGTTGCAACAGTACAAGCAGCAACAGTTGCAACAGTACAAGCAGCAACAGTACAAGCAGCAACAGCAGCAACAGTACAAGCAGCAACAGCAGCAACAGTACAAGCAGCAACAGCAGCAACAGTACAAGCAGCAACAGTTGCAACAGTACAAGCAGCAACAGCAGCAACAGTACAAGCAGCAACAGCAGCAACAGTACAAGCAGCAACAGCAGCAACAGCTGCAACAGTACAAGCAGCAACAGCAGCAACAGTACAAGCAGCAACAGTACAAGCAGCAACAGCAACAGTACAAGCAGCAACAGTTGCAAGTGGAGTACTGGGCTGCAACAGTACAAGCAGCAACAGTTGCAACAGTACAAGCAGCAACAGCAGCAACAGTACAAGCAGCAACAGCAGCAACAGTACAAGCAGCAACAGCAACAGTACAAGCAGCAACAGTTGCAACAGTACAAGCAGCAACAGTTGCAACAGTACAAGCAGCAACAGCAGCAACAGTACAAGCAGCAACAGTTGCAACAGTACAAGCAGCAACAGCAACAGTACAAGCAGCAACAGTTGCAACAGTACAAGCAGCAACAGTTGCAACAGTACAAGCAGCAACAGTTGCAACAGTACAAGCAGCAACAGTTGCAACAGTACAAGCAGCAACAGTTGCAACAGTACAAGCAGCAACAGTTGCAACAGTACAAGCAGCAACAGCAACAGTACAAGCAGCAACAGTTAAACAGTACAAGCAGCAACAGTTACAACAGTACAAGCAGCAACAGTTGCAACAGTACAAGCAACAACAGTTGCAACAGTTCAAGCAGCAACAGTTGCAACAGTACAAGCAGCAACAGTTGCAACAGTACAAGCAGCAACAGCAGCAACAGTACACCAGCAACAGTTGCAACAGTACACCAGCAACAGCAGCAACAGTACAAGCAGCAACAGTTGCAACAGTACAAGCAGCAACAGTTGCAACAGTACAAGCAGCAACAGTTGCAACAGTACAAGCAACAACAGCAGCAACAGCAGCAACAGTACAAGCAACAGCAGCAACAGTACAAGCAACAGCAGCAACAGTACAAGCAGCAAGTTACAACAGTACAAGCACCAACAGTACAAGCAGCAACAGTAGCAACAGCAGCAACAGTACAAGCAGCAACAGTTGCAACAGTACAAGCAGCAACAGTTACAACAGTACAAGCAGCAACAGTTACAACAGTACAAGCAGCAACAGCAGCAACAGTACAAGCAGCAACAGCAACAGTACAACCAGCAACAGCAGCAACAGTACAAGCAACAACAGTTGCAACAGAACAAGCAACAACAGTTGCAACAGTACAAGCAGTAACAGTTGCAACAGTGTAAGCAGCAACAGCAGCAACAGTACAAGCAGCAACAGTTGCAACAGTACAAGCAGCAACAGTTGCAACAGTACAAGCAACAACAGTTGCAACAGTACAAGCAGTAACAGTTGCAACAGTGTAAGCAGCAACAGCAGCAACAGTTGCAACAGTACAAGCAACAACAGTTGCAACAGTGTAAGCAGCAACAGCAGCAACAGTGTAAGCAGCAACAGCAGCAACAGTACAAGCAGCAACAGCAGCAACAGTACAAGCAGCAACAGCAGCAACAGTACAAGCAGCAACAGTTGCAACAGTACAAGCAACAACAGTTGCAACAGTACAAACAGCAACAGTTGCAACAGTACAAGCAACAACAGTTGCAACAGTGTAAGCAGCAACAGCAGCAACAGTACAAGCAGCAACAGTTGCAACAGTACAAGCAGCAACAGCAGCAACAGTACAAGCAGCAACAGTTGCAACAGTACAAG